ATCAATCTCAAACTAGTGAAAAACGTTTCAATTCATCCCCTCCCCCCAAACAAAGATTGAAGCAGGCTCGTATCTGAGGTGCATCTTTTTGCTCAGAGCCTAGCAGAGAAATTCTCTGCATCTCCTTTGCCTGGGTCAGGGTTGCCAGCGTCTACACTTTGAATGTTTAAGGAGATTGAGTGCCTCTACTGGAAGCAAATAGCTCATAACTTCATATCCTGAAACTCTCAGGAGCAAGCCTGCCCTTGTCATTTGAGTTCTGCAGATGGCACCCTTTTTCCAGCTCACTGGGGAGCCTCTGCTAATCACTGGTAACAATGGGACTTCTGTCTCACTGGAAAGCTTTCTTGTCCCCTTTCAGCTGAGGTGGAGACAGTCACTAAAACCACCGGGGGCAGGTATTTGTCCTGCCTGCTTGCTTTTAATATGCTCGTATTAGGAAACACTTCATTCATGGAGCGGATGGTCTAGCAAGGAGGCAAGAGGGATGGCAAACAAAATGGTTAAAAGAAATGCCATTTTTAAATATTTTGAAGAGCTAATATATGATGGCTAAGATAATAAAGAGACTGCGGCAATGAAAACATCCTAAAATAATTTTGAAAACAGAACAAGCAAGCAAACATTTCTCTCTAAGACTAGGTTTAGACACTTCGGGCAATTTCGACACAAACCTTAACTTCAGCTTATTTTTCTAGCCAACTCTTCCTTCCCTCCTCACGCATAATAACTAAACTAACAAAACCCACCTGCTAGTCCCACTGAACAACCTCTCAAGGAGCGAGATGGTCACCCAGTACACATTTTCCCCATGACTTTTGACCTCTCTAATTATCTGGGTTTTCTGGCAATCTCAAATCACAGTTAATCTAGTCCTCGGTCAGTGTCTCATCTCCTTCTGCATTTGATCTAATATTTATTACTTCAGCCCATTTGCAAAATGAGTGCTTTTTCAAACGGTCACAAATTAAACCCAGAGTGAAGAGAAGTTGCTTTTCCTGCATCTGTATTCCCAGGGCATTATTGGCAGGGAGGGAGGAGTTAAATGTCTCTGTAGAGCTCAATTCTCTTTGCCTTTACCAATTCCTTCTTTCTGCTCATGCTCCCGCATGGTGCTCATGCTAAAAGCACTCATAAGGGCCAGATTATGCAAAGTGTAACTTAATTTCTGAGGCATTGCTTTTAACCCACCACTCTGGGTTCCCATCCATGACTGGTAATTCTTAAGTAATGGGCAGTTTTGAACAGAACTTATAAGACACCAAATATTTAGTTTGGAAAACATTCCAACTAATAGGTGATTTCTAATCTTCTGAAGCATTCTTTTTCACAAACACAATTTTCTCTGAAAAAAGGAAAGTACAAATTCCCAGTTCTAGAAAAAATATTCTTTAACAATGAATTTCAACACAGGAACAAGGAGGGCAGTGTTTAGCTATGGCATTTCCTTCAGCTTCAATGATCATGAGATTCTCAGTGAGTAATGAAGCAGTCTCTTAAAGAAGAGAAAAACAGAAAAGAGATGCTAGCTAATTATTTTTAAAAAATAGAACTCAATCAAAAACACCTTGGGAAGAATAGTAAAATTTGTGTGTTTGGATGTTTTTATTTAGTCCCTAGTTAAGTAATTTCCCCTAAAGAAGTAGCTAATACCTGGTCATGAGTCCATTTTGAGGGGGAAGTGATCACTACGAAGTGAGACTCACCATTCCCTTGTTCCATCAAATCCGTCCTAACTTCAAGTCTATTTTACCCATTCTGAATGACCCCTTCAAAACAGACACATTGGTTTGACCTAAGAAAAACATCTCTCCACAAAAGATATTTTAACAAGGACCCTCTGTAGCTGCCTCTGGAGTCTTTCAAGAAAAGATAAGAGTTACCTAACTTCTTGTAAAGTTGAAAGTACGGTTTTTCTGGAAAATCAAGTACAACACCCAGAAAAGCTTCATTCCTCCTCCTCTTTCTCAATCTGCAATGGGGTGAGGCGAAAAGCCACTGAGTTGTTTGGCGAAATAAGCGCAGGACCGTCATCATAGGAAGCCTGCTAGCAAAGGAACAGGTGGCAGGCAGCCCTTGCAGTTGAGAGCTGAAAGTGTGAGAAGTTTCGGGAAATCAGTTGCAAACAGAATTCATTGTAGCCGAAGACGTAGGGCTGGATGGCTGAGTGGAGTGGAAATAGGGCACTGGGTGGGAAATACAGAATATTTCACCATACTTTAAAAATCAGCATTGAAAGATCAATACAGTACTCCTGACTTTTAGCTGCAGGAATGAATGCGGAAAAAGCAGGGTTTTGTTGGTGCATGCGGCAGGTTCGGTCAAGCCATGCCTTAGGCCACAAGTTCTGTTGTAGTGACTCAGAATCCGCATTGTCACACCTGCAGCTGCGTCCTTACGGCTCTGAGGCTTTGACAAACTCCTAGGTAGGTGCACTCCAATCTTGCTTCTACTTTAGCTAAGAAGAGGGCTTAAAGGTAATTATCTCTCAGGAGGAGGGAAGTATATAAAAACAAATGAAGACAACAACCGTAGTCAATCTTGCCAAAGTCTGCTGAGATCAGAGCAGAAATCTAAGACCCAAAGGTTTTGATGTTTTCCAAAGTTAATTGCATCAACGTTTTGAGACTAGGGCTGTTGTAGAATGAACTTCTTTGTGTATCAAATTTCAGACATCAACTTTGGTATAAATTATTTCTTCTGTACAATTCTGCAATGCTTCCCCATTGTGTTCAAGTTCTAGAGAACTGTTTTTTCTTTGGGATCAATATGAGTTCTTTTTCACTCAATCTTACTTACTATTCTTTATTTTTCATGGAACACACAAGCATTTTCAAGATTAGACTTTTAAGAGGCAAAATGGATACACTTTAATTCATCCTTTTCTACACTGACAAAGACAAACTTACCTTCTTGCTCTGCAGAAGAAACATGTTAGAAATATATTAATGCCTTGAAAAATACATTAAGTAGAAAGGGGAAATGCTTAAATGTGCTAACGGTGGTGTTGGGCTGGGGCAATTCGCTATTGGAACCCTCTAGATAATCCCAAAGTGGCCTGAATTCCTTTGCAGGATGAGCGTCTATAGAAGCAGACAGAAAGCCTCTTGTCATTTGTAACCTTAATCCCCTGCCAAAGCATGAAAAGTGCTCGGGATAACAAGGATGGGATCACTAAAATCAACATGATTTTGGAGTTTGTATTCTTAACAATGCTAACTGATCAATAGGCTTTCAGGAACTGACAAATACAATAAGATCCCTATGACAAATCCATCTAGTGCAGTGTAGACCCCTCTCCCCTCCCCCAACTCACCCCGCCCACTTTAAATCTTCCTGAGTCTACATTCACGGGGTCAGGGGAGAATGTTGTCTATAGACAGTATGAGAGCTTTCATGGCGATGCTTAGATAACTTTTATGAGCACTTTCAACAGTCTTTGTGTTTTTGATTGGGAGACTGGCCCTCCCTTTTGGGCTGAAGAACATCCATATCATCGAATAGGAATTCTCTTCTGGGCTTCAAGTCTTTAGATGCAGGAGTGGAAAAGGGAGAGCAAAGAAGGCTACGGGAAATGTTGAGGGTGTTCTCTTCTAACTTTTATACAAGTCTTACCCAAATCCTATCATACCATTGGACTTCAGGACTCTTGAAAGAAAAGTTAAAGAAAATCTATACGCCAGAGAGAGCACGCCTTTCTGTCAGAGAATTAATGAGGTTCAACAGGACTCTGAATACGTGCTTGTGTCCCACAGACAACAGAGTTACCCCTCACCAGCTCATGGAGACACAGGAACACGCTTCTCTTTTCATTTTGGTCCTTGACACTCAGCAGGGACTTTTGTGAACTTTGTCATCTTCCTCTGCCCTTGAAGCCAGCACTGGGGAAGTGGATCTAATTAATGCGAGGCGGGGCGGTGGAAGAGTCAGCCCGGCCACTGCCTTCCAGGAGCCTCAAAACCACCGCCACTTTTAGATTTGGAGTATCCTTTCGCGAATCCCCTGTTGTAATTTATAATTCTCCGTGGACCTTTATTTGTCTTGAACTGATCGTTTATATAGGCTTTCCAAGGAATTTCTTCACTATACTTGTAGAGCAGGGGAAGGAGGTGGCTGAACCCAAGGGGGGCTGTGTGGAGGCGGGAATAATCTCTAAGGAGGCTTTAAAACCTTCCCTGGTTAAAGTTACTCTGATGAGAGGGAGACACACACACACACACACACACACACACACACACTCACACACACACACACACAGCACAAGTTCAGCCGAGACTGTAATAATGAGCATGGATTGTAAATTCTGTAGGTAGCCAAATTCGATTTTTTTCTTTTAAATCACAATTGCTCCCCAAAATGGCTATAAAACAACGCTAGCCTCGGGAGGTAAATTTATAGCCCCATGCCTCTCCCAGGCACGCCGGAGGGTTCTGCTCCCGGCTCTAATCTCTGCGAGATGTTTTTTGCATGTGTTGTGTGACAAGAAGGAAGGGGAGTGGGTTGAGCTCGCTCTTCTCCCATTGTCAGCGCGTCTAGTGAGTGTTGGGAAAACCTGTCCGCGGGATCCTGTGTCATCTTTCCCTGCCTGTGCACAGGAAAAGTCCGCGCTGCTCAAGCCTGCTCGCTCCCCCTCTGCTCTTTCTCTCTCTCTCTCTTTCTCTGTTTCCCTTTCATTCTGCTTCCTCGGAGCGGAATGAAGCAGAGAGAGGGAGCAGGATTAGAGTCTGCCACCGGCTATCAGCGGAGCTGAGATAAAAGGAACGGCTTCTTAAGCGCCACTGCCGCAGCCCTTGTTAATTTTTTTTTTTTTTTCTTCTTTCCACACAACAGTTGTGCCTCATTATCCGGAGCCTGGCTCGATTTTTTTTTTTTTTTTTTTGAGGGTTTGAAGTTTCTGTGATTCCGTGACTGTTACAGAAGAAGAGACGTTAGTGTTGCCATGAGGTCTTGATTGTCTGCATTTATGAATGAAACTGACCTAAATCACCTGTTACCTCCAGTTTCCAGATTGTTTGAACTTCTCTGGCCGCACAATACAGGAAGGAAGGCTGCAGCAGCCCAGGGACCTCCAGCGTCTGCAGCATGGGCTGGTTCGCTGGGATTGCCTGTCTTTTCTGGGGTGTATTACTTACAGCAAGAGCAAACTATGCAAACGGGAAGAACAATGTGCCAAGACTGAAATTATCGTACAAAGGTAAAGCTTTCTTTTTCTTTTATTTGACTAGATTTATAGTGCCCCCTCCTTTCTTTGCTTGAACTCCCAACACTAAACATCAAACCTTTAGGTTAACCTGGGAAACCTGTGTCATTCGGTCAAAATTTTCGGTGAAAATTTAAACACTTTCTCTTAAACAACAAAAAAGCATGCCTTCTGTTTGATGTGTGACAACTTAAAAGCAAACAAAGAACATTTAATCACGGTGAGCTGTGTGCCTGCTCCATGCATGCTGATTTGAGTACCTTCTGATCATGCTATGTGCCCTTCATTCTTCTCACTTTACTTCCATTTAAAATATTTTTAAAGAACCGTTAATGCAAAAAAAAATGCTTTTTTTTTTATAGCTAGTCATGCCTCACCTATAATAACCATTACAGTGAACAGTATCTTCATAGTTGCGGGCACTAAATGGTTAATCGCCATCATGAATATTCAGTTTGTTCAAATCTGACACTCAGATGCTCACCATAAGCAGTAGATCATGGTTTGCCAAGAGAATATAAACTGGAGGGAACAGGCTAGTTTTTCCACACTGTGTTATGATGATGAAAAGATTGTATTTCCCTAATTGGTGTAAAACTAGCCTTTGAAATATAATGATATTTAATTCCATATGTAGCTAAGTGGGAATTATAGAGATGTAATTCTCTAATGACACCGTTAGTTATTTGAACTTCTTTTTTAAGAAGTATAAATTCATAAACGAAAACCCTGCTAGGTCACATGATTTTTTTTTTCTGTTACAGATTCGTGTGTGTGTTTGTTTTCAGATGGCAATTTTAAAGAAAATATTTGCTCTGAATTTGTTTGGAGAGATTTCAAAGACTGTTGGGTAGAGTAGTGGTAAAGCAATTCCTAAAGTGTGTGTGTGTGTGTGTGTGTGTGTGTGTGTACAAAACTTTTAGTGGCAGGGAGTATTTCTCGGGTGTTAATAAATGAAGTTTAAGATTAAACCGTTTTAACTCGTATAGTTTAACTCCCCAAGGTGCTGATTTCCTATGATTCTCGGATTTCTTGGGTTGGGGGTGGGGCTCTGAGTAGCTTCTACCTCTGCTATGTATTTAGCTTATAAGGTACATGAGTATTGCTATTGCTAGAGACATTTCCTTTTTGTGCACGACTGACTGATATAGAGAAAAATGTATTTCTAATTTTCACATGATAGGGGACAACTTTTCTGAGTGCTTTATCGTGAATTGAGAGACCAATTAGGAGAGACGCGTAATTTTCACACTATGCATGAGAAAATTAAACACCTATTAATGTGTGTATTTGAATTCAACTTAAGATAAAATACTTTGACTTAGAAAATTATTTTTAGTATAGTATTTCATTAAGCACCTAATTACATACATATAGGTTCAATGCAAGATAAACAGTTGCATTGGTACATCAGTATTGAAAAATCATATAACATCCACTAAATATTTCACCAAGTCTTTACTTTGTTTCTGTATAATAAAAATAGTGAAATTGTTTGCATAGTATGTTAAATAATCTATGATTTTATTGTTCTTTGATCTGTATTATTGAGGAGACACCATCCTGTTATCTTTAGATTGATAGCTTATTTTATTCAAGTTTATATTCCTCGTAAGTTTTCTATTCAACTTTAGTTTGAAAAGATGTAATTCTCAGGTTTGCATTTCTAAGATGCCGAATGGTTGCATACTATAATTTGATATTAGCAAATTTGAAATAATGAAGTGTATTTTAAGAATCTAATAGTCTTAAAAACAATTTTCTAGTTGCCAAATAGCTATTAAATAAAAATAAAATGTATTCTATTTCCTTACTTAGTGAGAATTTTATTTCCTTACCATTAATTACTCTCAATCAGAGAAGAGGCACCTGTCATGTCTATGCATTCAAATCATGTAGATAGTGGAACTAAACCTGTTCTTTGTTATATACATATGTTTAAACTTGTCTGATGAGGGCTGTATACATTAACAAGATATTGTTATATATATATATATATATATATATATATATATATATATATATATATATATATATATGGTACTGTCTCTACAAGTCTTATAGATGTTAGCTATGGTATCCATCATAATGTTTGTGTTTTCCTTTAAATCTAAAACTCCTCTACACCTCTCTAACCATTCTATTCATAGACCAAGAGCTTGGCAGTTTGCTTTACTAAACTGTGAAGTGGACAACAGCAAGGAAGAGGAGGCAGGGTTCCAGCACCTTTTCTTCTGTCGTTTTACTGGTGTGTCCTCACAGGCTTGTTTTGCCAAAGCACATGCCTGATAATCAATTGTCAAGACCTTGCCTCTAACTGTAAGAGAGATCTTATTTAAATCTGCTTCTTCTTCCCGACTTAATTAGATGTCAAACACAGTTAAAATATCTGCTGCCTTGCTCTTAAAAATATTGCAGCATTTCCCATGAAGAGTTAAATCCCTGCCAACCTTAATTTCCCATGGTCACTTGTCTTCAAAGATCCACCATTAACTCTCTCTTTGCTCAGGTTGCCAAGATGAATTTTCAGGCAATCAGTGAGCTTGCTTTCTCCTTGTCATCCTGCGTGGTGGGAGATGAAAGAGATTTGATATGTTAAAGCGAAGGGAGCACCAAGGCTGCTTCTGGGATGAATGTGCTTACATAGCTCATAAGGCACCTCTACTTTCTAGGAAAAGGAACTGAATAGATGTTTTCAGAACCATCTGGAGAAGTGATAATATTAGAAAAATGGGGTATGCTGGCTTCTCCTCTGAACCAGCCTGATTTAGAATCCTTGTGGGGGAAGAAAATGTGAGAAGGCTGTAAATCTCAACGTCACATAGAAATTATCCTCAAGAAGCATCCACGCGAGAGATGCTTTTGCCTTCCTTGAGTACGCCAACAGTAACTGACTAAATGTTCCACCCCTCCCACCATTTTTAATTCCGTACATGATTGTCTACTTCCTCTGCAAAATTAGTCACATTTTACTCCTCTTATGAAATGCTAAGAAACCGTACAATCTTTCATTTGGGATGTGTGGTCCAGTGGAATCTTCAGAAAAAAACTGGGTGAATCCCAAGAAGTGTGCAGGGGGTATTGGAAGTTTTAAACAAGTAACAAATGTTTCATCCCTCGACATAAGTTTTTTTTTTTTTTCCCAGTATGCAATGTGCCTGAGATTCAGAAGAAATCAAAGACACATGCAAGTATCAGTATGATAGTGTCCGGTGAATCCAAAGGTTAAATCAATGATTTTAACCTTCTCTTCAGAGGGAGGGCTGAGTAAACAGCACCTAAGTACAAGGCTGGGAATTTCAAAGACCTTTTCCTTATCTGCTCACATTTTTCCCTTCTCAGAATCAAGGTGGTTAGTTACTGGGAAAGTGAGATTATCCGTTCAATCAAAATTTGTATATAACTTTATGATATTAGAAGTCAATTTTCACTAATTAAAATTTTAAACAAAATTTTCCAAAGTTTCGCTATATGTTATGATTAAATTAAAATAAATTAATATGATTGCTGGCTTATCCAACCTTACTTTTTTTCTGTGATGCAGTTGAAAGGACATTTACCAGAGAAATAGTAATATATGACCTAGTTGTGTGGCTACTTCCATAAATAAGCCATTATTAGATATAAGCCTTCATATCTGGTATTGACACTTACTGTTGAATAAAGAATCAAAAGTGTGAAAAGTTTAAATTTTAATGATAAAATTACTTTAAGTGACATATTGAAAAATACATATCTAATATATAAATATTAGAGCAGTAATTTTCAGCCTAGGGGTTTGACTGCTTTGAGCATCACACACCAGAATCCTGCAGATCAGATGATCAAATGACTCTCAACAGCAGCAAAATTACAGATATGAAATAGCAGCAATAATTGTATGATTGGCGTTCACCCTTACATGAGGAATTGTATTAAAGGGTCACAACATTAGAAAGGCAGAGAGCCACTGTATTGGAGTATTTTATATATGTATTTGTATATATTAGAGTAAGATCTGACCTTGTAAATCCTATTAAAACATTTCAAGTAGCTCTTAAGTATATAGTAGCATGGTGTGAGATTTAGCTTACACTAATAACCCCCTTACAGATAAAATGCATATAGAATTGTTCATATACAATACACAGAGGCACACACCAATGTACAGGATCACAGGGACAAAATCTTTTTACAGTTTTCTCAAACTGTCACCTCATGTTACTGGGTTTTTGGCATCTTTTCTCACCAAATATTATTTCCTTCCAAATCATATTTTGATTGTGATGTTTTGAATTTAAGGTGATGAAGACTAGACTTTTGACAAATCAATTCAAGAGGCATGTCCTGAAAACATCATGAATGGTGAAATCCTGTAAGACACAAACATATCTTGTCATTCAACTCTGGTGACATCAAAGGAAAGTTCCTGAAACGCTCCAACTTGTGGCCTTTCTGTTAAAGTTGCCAAGCAGGTTGACCTTTGAAGTGAGAGAATATGCAATCCAGACGATAGGAAATAGGAAACCACTGGGCTGTGAAATCATTTCATAGACACCTATAACCTAACAACTTGTAATAGTTACGCCTGAAGTCTGAATGGCTTGGAACTGTGATTTCTGACTCTGTCGTCTTGGGTGTAAACAACAAGAATATTCTAGTAATTTAATGAACTCAATAGACATAGGTCTGTGGTGTCAAGTATTCTTTGTTTTCTGATATTTGTCACAATATAATTGACAGACGGTGCAATTTAGGATCATTTGTACCTAAAACATAAACTTATACTTTACAAGTATGCAACCATTCAGGGATAAATTTGAACTGAATTAAATGAAATGATTATCTGCATCCCTATTTGACAAAAACAAAGTTTAAACAGTTGCTGTAGACATTCTTAGTATGAATATACGACTGTCTTATAGAGCAAATTTTGTATCATATTTCGAGATATATATTAAAAATCCTATAATTTAAAAATTCCATCAACTTTAAAGGTGAGAAGATTTGTGGTT